AAATTTTACATTAGTTTATAAAATTTTATTTTAATATGGCAATAAGTAGGACGAGCTGAAGCGACATGTGGACTACTTTATTAACAATGTAAGCGATGGAGACGATGCAAGAAACAATCTAAAGGGTAAGGAAAATACATGTAAGAAGAAAAAGGGCAATGGAAAAAAAGATGATTCGAACAAGTTTTCGTACAACACTCTTCAGGAATCACCGTTGTACTAAAGAACAAAATGAGAACAAAGGAAATAATATAGCAATCAAGGTAGGGTGACACGATACAATGACAGCACTGGAATATCGAGGTGCGATTTCTCACAAAAGCGTGCAGAACACAAGGGTATACAAGTAAGAACTAAGCGTGACAAGTGTGTATTAGCAACAAAAACAAAAAAGTGAGAACGAATGATAATAATAACAATAATAAACAAGAAGGTGACAAAACACATTTAGGCACAAGTGGCAACAACGTTGCCACACTACACAAAAGAACATTATTTGAACAATTTTAGGGTAATAACACTATCTTTCTGGACACACAAATTCGGCTTATGAATGCGCTGACAAACAGCTTCCAAAACTTGTAACTGCAAAAGATAACCATGACGAGCACGGCACAAAACAGAAAAACAGGAATCAGAATAAGTACGACAACAGTCAGTACTAGAAACCAAATGATTGTATACTGAAGACTTATTGCGAGACGGACGCACACAATCTCGACTCACGCGGACACCCTCACACTCACTCTCACCCTCACTCAGCTCACCTTCTCCCTCACTGTCCGAATCAGAACCTGCTCCGTCATCCACAGTGGTTCGACTCTCCTCACTTGCATCGTCCTGCGTCTCACCTTCACCACCCACGCCAACTGTGAATGCCGTTGCCTTCATGTCAGTCGTCGTCCTTTCCGATTGTTTCCTTTGTATTTTTACCGTGAATTCATAGGTCCGGTTGTAATCTGCTGTAGATCTCCGTGGTCTGTCATTTGCTGCTTTGTTTTGTGGATTAGTTGTTGTTGTTGTTGGATGTGAACCTGGTGTTATTGTTGGATGTGAAGCTGGTGTTGTTGTTGCAGCCATGGTTGTTGGTCTTTTTGTTGAATCCAGCTCTAGTTCCGGTGGGACAAATCGACCGCCGCGGGTGCTCTCCACCAACACATACCTCGAAGTCGCACCTCGATATTCCAGTGCTGTCATTGTATCGTGTCACCCTGCCTTGATTGCTATATTATTTCCTTTGTTCTCATTTTGTTCTTTAGTACAAC